CTGACTATGAGGAGATGGCCCCTCTGAGATCCATGTTAGGAAGCTGCACAAATGGGAAGCCATAAAGCAAAACACTCTTCTGCCATAGAAGACCGTTTTTGGTCTTTTTTTTTTCCCCCCCCAAACAGCTGAAAGCACAGTGCATGTTGAAATGTTTTGTTGACAAATGAAGAAACTGAGGCGCAGGGGAGGTCAGGTCCTGTGCTGAGAGACTCTGTGAGAGGATGCAGAGTGAGAAGTAGTGCAGTGGCTCTGCCAGGGAAAATGAGGGTTTTTTTTCCTTCTCTAAAGAACCTAGAAGAAAAGAGGGAAGGGAAGCTCTACTGAGTTAATATGTAGCTCAGAGGAGAGGAATAGGAAAGTTTAAAAGAAGAGGAGGGAGAAAGTCAACAAAGAGAGAAGGGAAAGAAAACACACACACACACACACACACACACACACACACACACACACACATGAAAATCCGATAGTGAGAGTCGGAAGCTTGACCCTGATTCGGAAACGAGGAAGCCAGCAAAATGATTTAGAAAGGACAATACAGCCCTAATGACAGGAAGTGAGTACAGTCCACTTGGCTGGAGAGTCTCAGCGGTAGTGTTTTAGGCAGACCAACTGGAAACGATGCTCTCTCCGTGACCGTGTCTGCAAGCCCAAAACCCCTGCAAACTGTCACTCGTGGTGACAGGAGGGCCCATGGAGGATCTGGGGAAGAGGAATCACAGCAGCCCCCATAGGTTTTCGTGGACTGAGGACCATTAATAGGTGCCCTGTGAGAGTGACCTGTGAAAATGGCACATTTTCCCACCCAGTGAGGGGACAGTCAGGGGCCACACAGCGTGGGCAGAAGAGGACAGGGTTGAGGCAGAGCCAGCTGCCCTCCCAGAGTCTCAGCGGTAGTGCTGAGGTCCTCCCCCGATATAGAGGACTGGGAAGCAGGGCACACACCCGGCTTCGCTTTGTGACTGTGGCACCTCCCACAGTCGGCCACGACTGGCGGCGGCGACCACCCACATGCTGGAAAGTGTCTGTATGGCAGCTCCTACCCGGAAACGTGGAGGCCCAAACTCTTGATGACCACATTTCCCTAAAACATGCCCATACGCCATGCTTTAAAGCTTCTGTCTTTTCCTCTGCTAGCATTCTCCCCGCTGAAAAGGGAGAAAAAAGAAAAACATTCCCAAACACCGCCGCCTCTCCCCCCGCCCCCCGTCTGCTTCCTCCATAGGAAGTATCATAACAAGACTCTTCTCTTCCCGTGTCCCTGTGTCCCTCCAGACTCTCCTCTGGCCACCCTGGCACTCAAGCCTGTGTTAACCCCTTCCCAGTCCCTGCACTTTAGCTCCCAGGTACTAGGTAAAGCCAGTGTCTTGGGAAAAGTGCCTAAAAGAGTGGGAAGTAATAAATTGCTTTTTTTTTTTTTTTGGTAACAAAAGTATGAAACCATCTAAAAAGAAAAATGTGAAATAGGCTCATCTTTGTAGTAGTATATAGAGTAAAATCCATTTTTGCTTTAAAAAAAAGAAAAGAAAAAAGAAATTCTTGAAATGATTTTTCAAAATTATTCTTGTAGCTAAGGATGCTATTTTTTTTTTTTTTTTAATATGAACACAGTCCGCTCAAGCCAGCAGTTGTTTATAGAGTAGAAACTAGCCTAAGCTTTGCTGGGCGGGCAGCTCTCGATTGTGCAGGGTTGTGAAGGTGCCCTCCGCAGGCCAGCCATGTGGGCTCTGGCTTATGGATGGTTGGAAAAGAGCCGAGCCTGCTCTCACGGTCATTGTCAGCCGAGTGTATTGTCTTGTTTCCCACTTTTCTGGCAAAGCTGTCATTGGTATGTTTTGGTTTGGCCCAGTGTGTGGAATTGGTTACATATGGTCACCACGCTTTGAGAGGCTGGGGGAAAGAAGGCAGAGGAGGAGCAGGCATGTGACCGATGGCGGGTCTGCTGGCGGCCTGCGTGGGTCCCCTGGCTACAGCCGCCCGGGAAGCAGGCTGTCTCGGGGGATGCCACACGTGTAGGGTCAAGTTGCTCTATCTGCTGTGTCTGGGACTTGGGCAGAGCACTGGAAAAATAGGCCTGGCCCAAGTGGCCAATTAAACTTTCCATTGGCAGAGATTGGATTAAGAGTTTTAAAAAATACGTGAAATCTTTCCATTTGAGTAATTTGTTTTTTAATGAAATGAAACATTTACTGACATAAACTCCACAGAGCAGGAGGGGAATGATTAATTAAACCGTGGTGCCATTTTGGACGGTCTCGATGTAAGAATAAAGCATTAGAAGCTGTTTGGGGCTGGGCTGTGGGGGGTAATGAACTCCAAGGACAGAGACAAGGGGGCATTTCTGCAGGTTCAGGTCATATGGCTTCTGAGAGATTCTGAAACCGAGGACTGTAGTAAAACACAGAGCAGACAGAGGCTTTAGGGAATGCCAGCCCTCACGAGCGATCACGCTCTCTCCCTCACCTTTCTGGACTGGGATGTACTTGCTCTTGCTGCCGTCGCACGGGCCAGAGGCTCCAGCCACAGCTCTCGGGCCCGGGTGTGCTTCAGAATCAGACTTTTTTTAAAAAAAGAACAAGCATACAGGGCATGGACCCTAAGTTATATAACATCCTAGGAGAGTCTGAAGCAGAAGCCCGTACTCAAATACAGTCTTATTTCTATAGCCATGTGTTTGAATAAACAAAAATGGTGAGTAGCCTCAGGTTTTATGGGCAGAAAGAGGTCAGTTCAGATCAGTTTTGCTGCCAGGTGAGTCACCAGCGCTTCTGGTGCGCAGAGCTTGTGGGGTTTGGGGATAGTGGGTAAGGAAGTGCTGTGCCCTTCCCCGTTTGTCCAGAGCGCTGCAGGACGTCCTCCTGGCAGCGGCATGCTTTTCCCTCGCTTCCAGCTCCCCACCCCATCCCGAATTTTCAGAATGAGTTTTCAGCAGTTGGAGGAGGGTTTAAGCCAATTAGCTGCAGAGCCGACCAAATACCCAACTGAAGAGGGCACCTGTGAAATCAGGCATGGCGTGGAGGCAGGGGCCCCACACTGGTTCATTAAACCTCTCGCACCAAACCGGGGGGGGGGGGGGGAATCACTCCCAAAATGTGAGCAAAGTTATGTGAGAATAATTAAATAGAAGGCCTATTTCAACACAGTAGGAATAATATATGGATTTTATCATAAGAAGTTACAGTGGTAGAGAATAAGAAAGCATCCTCAAAGGGCTTGTACAGGCATGTGACTGACAGGGCCGTGGCTGGCGGCCACGGGGGCCAGGATAAACCCAGTTCCAAAAGCAACAACAAAACAAGAAGAATGGCAGCAGAGCCCAGAAGTCGGGACAAGGTTGCGCCCTGGGCCCAGCTCCTCCAGAATTAAAGGGAGCTGCCGCATGTGTATGCTGCGGTCTCTGGTTACACCCCTGAGACAGGGGAAAAAATCTAGGTTTCTGCATGGCTTGAAATCAGGTTGTGTTTTTAAAAACAAACAAACAAACAAACCAGGTCAGAAGTTGGAAAGGATTCCAGATTAGACTTGGGGCCACGAAGCAGCCAAAACATACACGCACTTGGCGGGCAATGGCAGAATGCGATATGGCAGGAAAAGGAAGGAAAACTAGAGAATAGTGTCTGGCAGTGATTGGAGTGGGGTCACGGCACTCCCCCGGCCCCACGTACGGTATTTCCTGCTCTGTCAAGAAGGCCAGCGTGCAGGGAGGCTGTGTCTTCCAGAAGGGTTAGCAGGTCTCCCCAACTGTCTCCTGTTTGTCTGTGCAGCCTGAGCTTGCAACATTAGGCAGCTCCCCCAGAGGGTCACAAAGGTCTCAAATGATAGATGGCCTGTCCAAGGTCATCAGTAAACACAGCCCCAGGAGGCGCCCTGTCTCCCCATCAAAGTCACCAACCCCAGGGCACCTTGGGGTCACCAGGCTAGACAGTCCCCAGCCATCCCGACATGATGGCCGATGTCGGCTGGTAGTGCAGCAGAAGCTTGCCAGGGCACAAGCAAAACGAAGTTCTGAAGTTCGGCAGTGGAGCTTAGCAATGCTATCAACATGGACAGCGTGTTTCTCATTCCATGGATTTCTTTCTCTTTGTTTCATTCATATTTTTTTATCAGTTTCACAGAATTGTAATTTACATTCAACCATTTTAGGAGTACAGTGAGTTTTGACAAACTGGTCCCACCACTGCACACAGGATATAGAAGGGGAGTTGGTAGATTATGGTCTGTGGGCCAAATCCAACTCCCACCTGTTTTTTGTTTCGTGTGTCTTTTTTTTTTTTTTAGTATTTTTTTTTTTATTTATTTCTAGGAGAGAGAGAGAGAGACAGAGTGAGGAGGGGAGGGTCAGAGAGAGAGGGAGACACAGACTCTGAAACAGGCTCCAGGCTCTGAGCTGGCAGTCAGCACAGAGCCTGACGCGGGGCCCGAACCCACGAACCGCGAGATCATGACCTAAGCGAAAGTCGGACGCTTAACCTACTAAGCCACCCAGGCGCCCCTGTTTCGTGTGTCTTTAAAGGGCTATTAAGAAAAATAATCTGCGGCAGAAATCGCATGCAGCCCACCAAGCCTCAGACATTTGCTACCTGGCCTTTACAGCCGTAGATTGCTGAGCCCCGAAACTGAACGTTTCCATCACCCCTCAGGGTGCCCTGCAGCCCCTTTGCAGACATTCCCCTCCCCTTCCCCCTGGCAACCACCGATCTGCTTTCTGTCACTGTAGCTTTGCTTTTACTAGAACTTCACATAAACGAGATCATACAGTATGTTGCCTTTTGTGTCTGGCTCCTTTCACTCACAAGGCTTTTGAGAGTCATCGTCCGGGTTTTTGCATGTAGCAGTAGCACGTTCCTTGTTTACTTCTGAGTGGTGCGGTGCCCCGTTGAGGGCAGCGTTTAACCCTCGACACGTTTTGAACCCGGTGCAGGCTCAAGGTAGAAGGAAGGGGAGCGGCGGGGCCAGCGGGGAGGGCGGCAGTGGCCCACGCTCACCGCCTTGTCTTGCAGGCATGAACAACCGGGAGGTGCTGGAGCAGGTGGAACGCGGCTACAGGATGCCCTGCCCGCAGGACTGCCCCATCTCTCTCCATGAGCTCATGATCCACTGCTGGAAAAAGGACCCGGAGGAACGGCCCACTTTCGAGTACTTGCAGGGCTTCCTGGAAGACTACTTCACCGCCACAGAGCCCCAGTATCAACCCGGTGAAAACCTGTGAGACCTGGGTCTGCAGAGAGAGGCCTTATCCAAGAGGCTTCCCCGCCCCCTCCCCATTAGCTTTCAGTTCCGTAGCCAGCTGCTGCTCGAGCAGTGAGAGCCGTCCTGGATCAGATTGCATGTGACTCTGAAGCTGACGAACTTCCATGGCCCTCATTAATGACACTTGTCCCCAAATCCGAACCTCCTCTGTGAAGCATACGAGACAGAACCTTGTTATTTCTCAGACTTTGGAAAATGCATTGTATTGATGTTATGTAAAAGGCCAAACCTCTGTTCAGTGTAAATAGTTACTCCAGTGCCAACAATCCTAGTGCTTTCCTTTTTTTAAAAATGCAAATCCTATGTGATTTTAACTGTCTTCACCTGATTCAACTAAAAAAAAAAAAAAGTATTATTTTCCAAAAGTGGCCTCTTTGTCTAAAACAATAAAATTTTTTTTCATGTTTTAACAAAAACCAATCAGGACAGGTGTTTGGGTTTTTTTTCTTTTTTATGAATATGAATATATATAATATTATCTGTCCCTGTACGTACACCACGTGGGTGCTAATGTGGAGGCCATGGCCAACCTGGGCCGTAAAGCCTCGGGACCCAGGATGAGGATTTTACCGCCAGATCAGCGTAAAAGCACTGCTATAACTGCAAGCCAGTGGCCCACCTCCCTTTTGGCTTTTGCAACGCATGATCCTTATTTTTCTTCTTCTTCTTTAATTTAGATCGCACTTTTTTGGTTCATGACCGTACCTGTAGACGGCTGCTACTTTGACTCTTTTCAAAAGCAACTCCAGAGCTGGATTCACACGTTCTGTTTCCAGTATTTGCTTTGACTCAACTGCGATTCGTTCTTGAAACCTGAAAAGCATACTTAAGCAAGCCAGCGGCCAGTACTATCAGGGGAATTGGAAGGTGGATACCACACATACTTCTTGTACAAAAAGACGAATGCTGAAATGTTTCAAACTTTTTTTTTTTCCATTTAATAAACCTTGTAACCACATTTAAATGGTCTAAAACCCATAGCGTTTATAGTCATGGCCACCTGCTAAACTTTCTCATGCAACTAAAACTTGTGAGGGTGAGGGTTGTACATTTCCCATTGTAAAAAAAGTGTTTTAAACGTCATGTACTGCTAATGAAATGACTTTCTAAATGTCCAAGAGCTCTCCAGTGGAATAACTATGCACTACTTTACATTTCATGGGGATGCACCGAAAAAAAAAAAAGAAAAGAAAAAAAAGTACTACATTTTTAGTTGCTGTTTGTACCAACCTTGAATTACATGTTTAACAACAACAAATCAAAAAACCTATTTCTATTAAGTTTTTAATACTGGGTAGCGACTCTGAAATCTTAATTCCTTTTTTGTTATGATTTATTTGTGAGTTTACATTTTTAAATTGTTTAACTTTCTTAATTTAGTAATTAAAAAGAGAGCATTTTACATTTGAATTTTTTTTTTGTTTATTTGTTTAAATCATGGAAGGGACTCTAGCAGTGACACAGCCGCCCCACGCCGGGTGGCAAGGAGCTACCTGGGGAATGTAACCATCATGCAGTGATTTCCGAATGACAGAAACATTCAGAACACCAAGCGGGGCCTCCCCCCACCCCAGAAGGGCTAGGCTGCTGTCTAGCTGGCTCAGAGGATCATTAGAGCAAGATTAAGCATACTTGAACATTTTAATCTACCAGACCTTTTCACTAACTGGAATTTTCTGTCTCCTACTTGTAGGAGAAAGACCATTTCAAGAAGAAGCGTTGTTCCCCTAGAGTCAGTACATGTCTTTCCCAGGGGCCCTCTACCTCCGTAAGCATGTCGCCAAGCGGGGACGCAACGTGGCGTAGTAGTAGGGGCAGTGGGTAGACCGCGCCAACTGTCCAGGCTCGTCACTCGTCCAGCTGTGGGACCGTGAGCAGCCATCTGGCCCTTCTGTTTAGGGACCTGAGTGCAGAAATGAGGGGGTCACATGAGATTTGCGGTTGGTTCCTACAGATCTAAGATCCTGTGATTCGAAGATCGCTGCTGTCGTGTGGAATTATACAAGCAGGAGAGTTTTCTTGCTGAAATGACCTTGCTAGTTAGAAAGCGTTTCCAACATTTAAAACATAAAAAGAAAGAAAACAAAGGGATTTTCTGGTTAACCAAGTCTTTATGGTATTGGTGTTGGTATTGATGCAATTTGCTAAATTGATAAAAAAATTTCTAAGATCTACAATTACCATCACATTACTGGGCAATTTATTAACATGGTCTAGATATTTTTAAAGATAACTTTGTTTTTAATCTTCACATCCCACTTGGTTGAATAATTTGCAGGTTATTCTCTGGAGGATTGTTGTGTATGTTTTTGATCCAGTCATTAAAAAAAAAAAAAAAAAAAAAGAACAGAAAACCGAAAAAGCTATAACCTGCTTTAAACAGAGATTCTTCAAGAAAAAACTTCAAGCCAAAGTATAGCCTTCAATTCATCAATTGAGTTTGTTGTGGATTCTCGCCTATGAAGCAAAACCAAAGAACTGGGTTGGCCACACTGCGACTGCTCTGAAACATTTTGTATAGGGTTGCAGTCAAAACGCAAAAACGTAACTATAAATACAGAGAAATCAGAGGTGTTTTCAGATTCCTTCTCCCTAACAGTAATGTGCTACCTGGAGTTACTCCTGAGGTAGACCAGTCCAGGCAAATAAAACTACATCAATTCCCAGTGCATGCCAAGAAGCCTGTGTCCCTCACAAGTTGTGGAAGTTTGGAGTGAGGAACCTGAATCCACTAACCAGAAAGCTCCCTTTTTCAGAATGAAAAATATAGACGTACCTCAGAAACAGTGCAGGTTCTGTCCCCAGACCCTCTCAATAAAGCAAATCTCTCAATAAAGCAAGTCAAATGATTGTTTTGGCTTCCCAGCGCCTATAGAAGTTATGTTTACACCATACTATTCTGTGAAATGTGCAATAGCATGTGTAAAACCATGTACATAACTTTCATTTAAAAATACTTTATTACTAAAACAAAATGCTAATCATCATCTGAGCTTTCAGTGAGCTGTAGTAACTGATCGCAGATCATCATAACGAATAGAATAATAATGAAAAAGTTTGAAATCCAGCGAGAATTACCAAAGTGACAAGAGACACGTGAAGTGTGTCTGAAGCCAATGCTGTTGGAAAAAATGGCACCAACAGACTCGGTCGGTGCACGGTTGCTGCAAACCTCTGGTCTGTAAAAGACGCGGTCTCAGCGAAGCGCAATGAAATGAGGTATGCCTGGGTCTCGAAAGGTACCTTAGCAACAAGTGCCGGTGAAGTCTTTTGTCTTTAGTTACCTGGTAGTGAAGAAGCACTCGCTGTGCTCCCTTGGGAGAGCTGGCGTCTGGCATTGCTGGGCTGCAGAGGGGAACCTCCTAATGCACTATTTCTTTTTACTTTCTTAAAAGCAAATAATAGAGCTACTGGAGAAGAATTTTGACAAAGCTCAGACACCGTAAATGTGACAAAACGATTTCCGTTCAGAGACGCTCGCCGCAGCTCACACTCTCTGAGATGCTTTGTTCACGGTGCACGGATGGGCTGGGAGGGCCAGCGAGCCAGCAGTGGATGCAGGGCCTCCTGCGTGTTAGGGTATCACTGTGTAGACCAAAGCTAATGATGCATTTGGCTCTGACTTGGCCATGCAGGAAAGGTGTTTGGGGACCCAGGCAGTTCCCAAGAAAAGTTAAGGGTACTCATAAACCCTCAAATACAGCCACATTACTGAAGATTTTCTGACAAGTGCCCTAGGGTGTTTACCTGCCGTGAGAAAGACAAGTATCCTCCTGTGGCTAAATCTTGGCACCAGAGGATTTTTCCAGTAGCATTGGAGCCGCGAAATTTTATCTGAAATTTCCCATGGGACCTTAAGAATGTATACTGAACTAATTGGAATGGTTCTTTCATGAGTCTTGAAAGAAGGTAAGGTTTTCAACAGGAAGCAGAAAGTACGTCCTGCATTTAGGATGTCATCTGCTCTTCCATCGGCGCTCAGGACGAGAGCCTCACTTGACAGAATAGGCATTTCCTAACAAGTTATATTTGGATAAAACAGTGTTTGGTCAATTTGTTCCCGAAATGTATTTTAATAGGTTTAGATGGCTGTGGGGGCTTTCTACCACTATATCCTCTACTGTTGGGATTCAGTTAGACTGTCCAGAATATTTGCTGGAAGGAAGAAAGGGTGGGAGAGGAGGGGAAAAGAAGGACAGAAAAAAATAATCTGGAGGCAGGGGAAAGGAAGCTCAAAGATGTTTCATTCTACAAATGATATTGTGGGTTACGGAGTTAACGAGCAAGTGCCAGTAACATACGTTTATTTAATTCTCAAAAATAGATTACAACTACAGAGAAGAAAATACTGAAAAATGTATCTATCTTGAGCATCTTTGAAATATCCACTAAACCTTCGTAATTAATAGATACCTACATCCCCAGAAACGTTTTGTAATAAACTCCTAAATCATGCCTCATTCTTTCTGAACATGCAAAACATTCAGATCCCATGGAGGTGGGGGAAGATATGCCTTGATTTTTAAAATTCTGAGGACTGAAAATAAGAAGTGTTTTCCCAGCTTGGCAGGGACTATTCTAAGGGGAATGTGATCAGTGAGAAACTACTGCTCCCCCAGCAGCCAGAACACTGTGCTCCTTTCAAGAACACTTACAACTTTTCTAATAATGTGCTTTATGATACGACTCTTCTTGTAATGCGTCTTCCCTGCCAGACTGTGAGCTCCTTGGGAACGGTATTCTCCTTGCACCAAGAGCAATGATGAGCTGATGGTAGATGTTGGATGGATGGATGGTGGCTAAGTGGGTGATGCCGTCTAGTTGGGGCAAATGGCTGACCTACAAATGACACACTGATCCAGGACCATGCAGAGCACACCAGGATCTACTGTGAGCTACCTGAGGCACTAGCCCTACCCTCCCTCTTCAAATATGTGGTCACCAATCTTCAATATATGACTTAAAGATCTAGTCTATAGCCCGAAGTGAACCCCACTAGTGCTCCCCAAACCTCTCCCCAGAACTCACCCCAACACTAATGGAAATAATCGTGTACGCCCTGGGACTGGGACCTTCAAGGTCTCATTCTAACTTTGTACTTATATGAAAATTTTATATTCTTCCTAAGATATCCATTTTGTGGTCAAATGCTCTACCACTGAGCTATACCCCCACACCTAAGATATTCATTTTGTGTCTTCACATGAAATTATTTTCCCAGACCCTCAGGTTGTGCGCTGTTAGCTGGACTACAGCTTCTAGGACTCCTGGCACACCTGTGCATGACCCACGGAGCACCTGTGCCCTGCTTGAGACCCGCAGCATGAAGATAT